TGTTGTATCTACAAGCTACCCGACCTGATGTCACATATGCCGTGAATGTTCTCAGTCAATTTGTATCGGACCCTCGTCAAAACCATTTGGAAGCTGCAAATCGGGTCTTAAGATACTTAAAAGGAACACCGGGTCAAGAGATCTTCTTCCCCGCGAAGGGCCTTTAAATTTGACTGCTTACTGTGACTTAGACTGGCTTGGGTGTCCTTTTACAAGACGGTCCAGAACAGGGTACCTTCTTTTATTCGGTGGCGGCCCCATCTCTTGGAAAACAAAAAAACAGTCAATCGTCTCTCGGTCTTCGGCAAAGGCAGAATATAGAGCGATGGCTTCCACTGTTAGTGAAGTCTTGTGGGTGAGATGGTTACTCAAAGATATGCAAGTTCAACTCACAACACCAACATCCTTGTTTTGTGACGATCAAGCTGCTCGTCACATAGCTAACAATCCCGTTTATCATGAACGAACAAAACATGTCGAAATGGACTGTTTCTTTGTTCGTGAACGTGTAGAGACTAGAGACATCGAACCACAACCAATTGAAAGCAAACTTCAACTTGCAGACCTTCTGACTAAGGGTCTCAGCACGCAACAACTTCGTTCTCTACTAAACAAGATGGGCATTCGCGATCTCCATGCTCCATCTTGAAGGGGAGTATGGGATTCTCTATTTTCGTCCATATATTCCCTCCTTAAATATTTGGTCAATCAATTATCTTCTTTTTTTTGTGATTGTTTAGCTTATTTATTTTGTCTCTCTTGTTGTAATCGATGTATGAAAAATCAATCAAAGAAAAACTTTATTCTCTTGTTCTGTGTCACCATTGATTTCTAGAGATTCTTGATCATATGAGACAAGAGCACAATGAGTGATAAAACGACTAGACAAATACTAGACAACAACAGATAGACAAAAAAACCCAACTAAATAGCAGGTGGACCAATCAATACCCAGGAAGAACCCAAACAAACAATAATACGGAAAAGAAGACTTACAATGCATTTCTACGAGACGAATAAGAGCAAACATCAATATAGATTCGATAAATCAGTTATTTCAAACCGATCTACCACCGAGAAGCAACATGGCATCCAAATTCCATGACCTCCTCTTTTAAAAGTTTTCTCGTTTACACATTGTTTAATGTTGACCGATCAGAGATGCGTTTAGGGATGATCAACGGAACTGGATACCTGCTTTCGGAACCGGAGCTGCCTCAAAACTGCTAGTTCCGGATTAGGAACAACCTTAAATGGTTCTGGTTCCGGTTTTCATTTTTACGGAACTGCTACCCGTTGGGTACTCGTCGAAACTTGTGTGCTTATATATATATATATATATATATATATATATATATATATACTTTATACCAAGGTTCTAAATAACGTAAGGCGTGACTTGGCGGCAATGTCAAGCCTCAAGCTTTTTTGAGTCATGACGAGCCATATTGTTTGTAAAGCGTGACTTAATGCGGCAATTTTGTATATAATTAATAATTTTATATGTATTTTCTACTATTATTCATTTTTATATACATATGTGACTTAAGGCGGCATTTTTTCAAAGGTTGGCGACAAGTACAAGCCTTGGAGCCATGACGCGCCATGGCGAAGCCGTGGCAAGCTTTTTAGAACATTGCTTTATAAAGTATCTTAAATAACATCATTTAAATTCTAGAATTTTGAGTAATTTAAACTTTTAAATTTCCATGTGTGATTTTCACTTTGAATTTAAACTATCCATGTTCAAAATGAATTTGTAAATAGTCGACATAATGCCTTATTATGTTCAAGTTAAATTTTAACTAATATAAATATTCGTTTAGTTTTGGACTCTAATTCTTTGAATTCTAACTCATAGATATAGTTGTAAAAGTTTTACAAATTCAACAAATTAACGAACCAGGTGCCCGATATTGGAACCGCTACCCGCCGGTTCCGGTTTTGGTTCCAATATTTTAGGAACCACCAGTTTCGGTTCCAGATAATTAGGGCGGGTACCCACCTATGCTCATCCCTAGATGTGTTGGCCGTTAGCGCTCATACACTAATGTTTACTACCGCTCCGATCGTTTACTCTTAAACAAATGTGACAAGGAAAACTACTAGGGAAAATCTTCGATGAGCAGGAAACCTAGATCAGGGAAACTCTCCGATGAGTAGGAAACCCTAGATCTGACATGAGATAGGGTAAGAACAGCCAAGAACACCGAGACACAAGATCTAGATGGATAGAAACCCTAGATCTTGACCATAGAACGAACAACAGATCGACTTCTAAGAAGACGATCAACACACTAATGAGCCGAATGTGGCTATGATACCATAAAAAGAAAACAAACTAAACATACACAACATCAACAACCCTTTTATTATAAGAACCATTTGATTTTCATTACATACAAACGAAAACTCACTACAGATTCTCTCACTTTCAATACAATTCTCCTCACCACAAAACTCTCCCTATTCTACACTCAAGAACACAAAGAACAAAGAAGGAAAAACAATATAACTCTTGAACCACAGAAATCCTAATCTAGATAGAAACCCTAATAGACTCAAGAGCTAAAAAGAGAGAGAAGAGCATATGTGTGTGTGAAATTTTTTTGTGTCTAATTACACAAACACACACATAACACAAATATATGCTCATGGCATGAAACCGGGTCACAGATCCAAGTAAACTCCACCCAACCTTAACCCGAAATAGATCTGCGTGTTTATATGTATAAAGTTAGAAGCGCAGTCCAACACAATCTAGTAAATACAATATACACCCTGCATAAGAATAGATATAACAAACCTGATACCAATAAAACTTACCAAACAACCTTCAAACTATTCCAATATTTCCAATACAACCAAAGACAAATTCAATGATGAGTTTGAAATAAGATACTTGATTATTCAAAACTCCCCTCTTTTAGATTCCACATCTTTTTCTCTTTAATCCAATTCAAAAAAATGGAATTCTAGTGTAAACAAGTCTGTCAAGGTACGTGATACAATACCGGTTAAAGTGTACACAAGGAAAAAGAAACGGGTCAAAGAGCTAGGTGGACTTGGAGCAACTTAATTCAATATTTGGGTATTGGTTGGACCCACTTAGTCAAAGTAGTAGTGGGGAAATGGAATGATGTGGGGCAGTTCACAAGCCCTTTTCCAGGAGCAGTTAGTAACCATTTTTATTATTAACAGGCTATGTTTTATTTTTAGTCAGTTTTAGATTTTATCAGGGTATTACGTTTGTATTGGAGACTTTGCCCCTCTCGAATCAGGTCACTTTATTTCAATCATTTGCTTATTTCAAACAGAATCTATCAGTATGCTCTTTACTTAAATCTAGTTTCCTATGCCCGGAAAGTTGACCATATGAATGTGAAGGGCGCACTTGGATTAGGGATGTCAAAAAGTCATGTGGGACCCCCTTCCTGTGGGGGGCCCGTCCCTTTTGGGGGAATTTTTTAAAAAAATCGGAGGCGGGGACGGGGGCGGGGGCAAAGTTAACCCCCGTTTTAATTTCGGGGGCAGGGGCGGGAGTAGGCAATCCCGTCCCGAAACCCCAATGGGGACCCCTTTAATAAATTACACATATATTAATTATATAAATATAATAAACAATAACATGATTTTGAGCTTCCAAAATTCATCAAAAAACATGTTTTTAAGTTGTTAGTATAATGTTTTTAAGATGTCATAACATTTTTATTTTTAACATATAAAATTATGTTATAAATAATTATTTGTTACCTAAAAAATAGCTTCTTTTAGCCTAAAAAATAACGTTTTTTAACCCAAAAAAAAGCATCCCAAAATCAATCGGGGGCGGGGGCGGGGGTAATAAAGGGGATTCGGGGGCGGGGGCAGGAAGGCTGAACATTTCGGGAGCGGGGGCGGGGAAGGAGGAACGGGGAAATTTCGGGGGCGGGGGCGGGGACTGCACTTCCCGTCCCGTTTGCCCCCGTTGACATCCCTAACTTGGATCAATCAAGCAGGGAAGACACCCCAAATGGAATCAACTCTTCATACTTAAGTTGCTAAAACTTTTAAATAAACCTAACCGCACAAATGTTTCGTTGAAAACTTAAATAATGTTTGTTTTTCAAAAAGATAAACACTGCTTGGACAGAAGATTTTTTCCCATTTCTGCCAGTTTACCAGCTTAATGCACTTCTTTTGATTCCTATAAGTTCGGATGTGTTAATTGTGTAACTGGTTATATACTTATCTATTGGGTTTTTATTTATTTATTTATTTAATTTTATTTTTTAAATTCAGGAGTAGGAAGGCGTGCATACATATGTGATTCATCAATATTCCAGTAGCCTTTCAAAGAAATTCTCTGTTTTCTCTGTTTTTTCTTCTCCTCTGAAATCGGCTTTGTTGGGTGCAGATCAACATCAGCGTGCAAGAAACAAAGAAATGAGGTATAGCCTCCTATAATCCTTCACCTCTTACCAACAGTAGAACAAGAAAAGGAAACATTCCACAATTTCACAATAAGTATTGGAGAGGGATAATGAGGATCGAAGTTCACCATCTGGCTTTTGGATTTCCTTATGTTGTAGAACACAAAGATGAAGGTGGTGGTAGTGATGAACTCCCAGCAATAACTATAAGAACCATACATGTAAGCATCTAAACTGACAGAATAAGCACAAAAGACAGCAAATCTCTTGATTGGGTTCTCTATGTTTCACAGATCCCATAGAAGGATTTGACACACATTTACTTACAAATGATGTGTATGTTTCCACTATGGGTTTCACAATGGTACTTATAAATGTTTAAAATTTGCAATCTAACCCCAATGTTTCCGTTCTTTCAAATGTACCTCAAAACTTTATCTTTCTCTGTAGAGACCACCATATTTTTAAAATAACACCTTAATTCCATTCCTTCCACATTTTATTCCAACAAAATACAAAATTCATCACATACTCAAATACATCTATTTTTAGTCAATTAACACCCACAATACTGATTAGCATGGCACCTCAAATGTTTTGAAGCATATCTAGAATATGTTGCAACTCATGGACAACATTTGCGATGTTCATCCGTTGTGGTGGGGAATCCACAGAGCATGATACTCCAATCTTGACGGTTGAAGCCAGACATTCCTCTATTTTCTTTGCATATTCTAACGTGGATTGTGTAGCAATAGCATCCTCTTGAAAAAATTTTAGAAGGTCATCATCAATAACATCATTTACAGAGTCTGGCAAGGCCATTTGTGCAAATTTATGAAGGGTAAGGCCTTCGTTAAAGATGTTGTCTGTTGGCCTCTTCCCTGTCATCACCTCCAACAATAGTATTCCAAAACTATAGACATCCCCACTACTTGTCATCTCGCTCCCAACACCATACTCTGCAACTTATAAGCATTTAATTTAGGAAAAGGTTATTATATACTACAAATAAATATGAGCATGTGGGAATAAATGGACTTAATTTACCTGGAGGTGTGTACCCAATCGTTCCTCTAATGCCACTTGTGCTGTTTTGGTTTGAATTTGTTCCAAGAAATCGTGCTAAACCAAAGTCTCCAACATGGGCCACCATATCATCATCAAGTAGAATGTTGCTAGGCTTCAGGTCACAGTGAACGATGGTTGGCAAGCAATGATTGTGCAGATAATCAAGTGCACATGCGACATCAATGAGAATGGTTATTCTTTGGACGAGGTTCAATCCGGATGTAGTTTCACTTGAATGCAACCAATCATGTAAACTTCCATTGGACATGAACTCGTATACCAAAGTTTTGAAGTCATTGCCTTGAAAGTCAACACCTGAACATGAAGTTACTATCTTCAACAGATTCCGGTGTCGAATACTCCGCCATGCTCCACACTCTGCCATAAAACTTTTGTGAGCACCTCGAGTTTGAAGATGTAGAACTTTGACTGCAACAAATCTATCATCATGATCGAGGACTCCTTTGTAAACAGAGCTGAACCCGCCCTCACCAATCAAATTTGCTTTGGAGAAACCATTGGTAGCCTTGAGAAGTTGAGCGTATGATACTTTCATGAATCGTTCGTCCCTCGATGATTCAGACGGTTGACCCTTCCTTTTCTTACACCAAACATATGCAAAACATGAAACGCCGGCGAGGGTGAATGCAATCAGAATGAATATCACAAACAAAGGAAATCCTTTTTTAGGTTTTCGTGTTGCCTGGCATTTGGGCAAGCCAAGCTCAGCCAAGCCACCACAAAGCCTACTATTCCCTAAAACAGAGAATGCACTTGCATTGGCAAACACTCCTACCACCGGTACATCGCCCTCAAAGTCATTAAAGGATAGGTTTACATATTCTAACAAGGTCAACTGTTCCAAGAATCGAGGAATTTGTCCCGATAAATTATTATGAGAGAGATCGAGTACTGTAATTCCTCTCATTGAACTTAATGACGGTGGTACCATGCCTTGAAATAAGTTGCCTTTGAGGGATAAGTGTAAAAGGCTAGTGCAACCTCCAAGGCTACTAGGAATTTTACCAGATAAATTATTATTAGATAGATCAAGATAATTCAACATCTTAAGGTCGCCAACCTCTATTGGAAGTGACCCAAACAGGTTGTTGTGAGAAAGATTTAATGCTATGGTTAGAGATGAAAGTTGAAGAAGCTGTTTAGGTATTCTGCCGCTGAGTTTATTGTCATCAAGATACATCTCGAATAAATTATGACAATTTCCCAGGGTGGATGGAATATCCAATTCCAATCTGTTGGAGCTTAACCAAAGTCTAGTCAACAATGATAAGTTCCCGAGGGCATGTGGAATCGGCCCTGAAAATTGGTTCCCTAGTAGATAAGCTTCTTGTAGCTTTTGAAGCTTACCAATGGTGGATGGGATTATTCCAGTGAATCGGTTACCTGATAAAGCCAAAGAGGTCAAGCCGAACAGATTACCTATACTTGAAGGGAGGCGTCCATGTAGATGATTTCCCTGTATAACAAGATAACGGAGCTGATCAGAAAGATTACCAATTGATACGGGCAGCACTCCTTGAAACTTGCAATTGCGAAAATCCAAGTACTCTAATTTGCTGCAGTTTTTCAGAGTATCAATAAACTTCATATCATCAGCTTCTCCGGATCCAAAGATGTTATCACCCAAGATTAAGTTATGGATATCTTTTAGTCTTGCAAAGTTGATTGTCAACTTCCCCCTAAAATTGTTCTTGTTCACTGCGACAAGTTGTAATTTGGAACAATTAGATAGCGAGGGTGGAAGAGGTCCGGTCAGTTGGTTTTCCCGTAATTGAAGGCGCTCAAGATTCGGGAGCATTTCACCTACGGCTGAAGGAAGACTACCGGTAAGCTGATTCCCAGCCAAGGAAAAAATAGTTAGAAGTGAGAGGTTATAAATGGAATGAGGGATGGTTCCAGATAAGTTACAAGCACCCAAGCCAAGATCTGTTAAGCTTTTCCACTGGCCTAAGGTGTCTGGAATGCTCCCACCCAACGGATTGTCAACAGCAGCAAACACTTCCATTGATGTTATATTCCCCAAGACAGCCGGGATTCCACCTGTTAAGTTATTAGTAAGAATTGAAAATAAAGTAACTTTGGACAGGTAACTGATCTCTTTGGGAATGCTTCCAACCAGCTTGTTATTATGGAGTCCAAGCTTTTCCATATCAGAACAACCGGACAGGTTTGTTGGAATGGCTCCGTTGAATTTGTTATAGCCAAGGTCGAGGACACGTAGTCTGGATAGACGACCAAGTTCATTTGGGATCAATCCTTGAAAGCTGTTGTTCCAAAGAGAAAAGAAACGAAGGAAGCTGAGGTTCCCTACATGAGGAGACAATGAGCCTTCTAGGCCTTGTGAATACAGTTGTAGAGAAGTGACTCTTCTGTGCCGCTTCCCACATGAAACACCACTCCACTCACAGAAATGAAAGGAGGCGTTCCATGAGCTTAATGGATCATTGGTGATCATTGACTTGAACTGCAACAACGCTTGATAATCGGTCTCATTACCCGAAGCAGAGACAGTAGAGGTAATCCAAAATATAACAATACTAGAAAAAAGGAAAGCAATACCAGAGTTCATTTTTTGAACTAAACTTAGGATTACAAGGATAATTTATGGCGTTTGAGTTTATACTCAGTTTTTGTATGATAACGCGACTAGTAAAATAAATGCCATCATGACCTTGTCATGACATGCAACTAGTCAAATGAATGCCATCCAATAATTCATTGTCACTTTGACCAACACAAAGTTGAGGACTCTATTGGTCAAATAATTTTTAGGAATAATTATGATTATTATATGTTTGGCAACATATTTCCACACGTTGATTTTTTGTTTTAAAGATAAGAAATAGTCTAAGTTCTACTGTAAAACCAACCAATCAAATAAAAAAAAGAGAGAGAAAATTGCAAAAGTGGTCCTTGTGGTTTGCTGTTTTCTTTGGCTACAGTCAAACGAGTTTCAAAGTTTCAGGTTTGGTCTTTTCAACTAGTATCGCTGTAAATAACCAACCTCTTGGTGCTGTACCAAAATCAAGAAAAAACAGAGTACAGAACAAAGGAGAAAGAAACAGGGCAAGCTTTTTGGACAGAAATGGTGAACTAAGCTTTAGAACACCCCTAAGTTAGTGCCATATCTTCCTTTTTGTTTATACGTATCTAATTAAGTTACCTAATTTAAAGACTAACTTCTCTTTTGTCTCAAATCAGTGTTACTGCGATTCAATTTATGGCATTGCTGGCTTTTAAATTTATGGGCAAATACCAAAAAAGTGTCAAGTTTTACACACTTAGTGAAATCAATGTCATCCACAAACATAACCCCTGCCCATTCATTTTCTTTTTGGAGAACTTCGACTTCATATATGGTGATGAGAAGTCCAACCAATTCATGAAAATAAAAAAAACCCACATAAACGCCACAAACACGTGCGTGTGAACTAAATTTGAAAGGGGAAGACCATGGATTTGGAATTTTGTGGTGTTGTCTTGGGTGTGGGTTGAATCTAATGATTGTGGAATTTATTTAGCAAGAATAGGTCAATATTAACACCGTACACATACTTCTAAGCTTTGACCACGAACTCTATCCCTTAGGGCATCCACAATGCATTGAACTCCATAGAGTTCAATGAATTGTCACATCATCTTTCTACAATTCATACAACTTTATCATTTTTTTTCCCACAATGCATTGAACTCAGAGTTCGATAGAATGTTACAAAATGTAATTTATACTAAATAATTAAGAATTAAAAACTTTCATTTTTCCCATTGAAGAGTTCAATGGCCATTGAACTCCAAATCCATTGAATGCCAAGGTGGCATCTCATAATGGTAGAGTTTATCTATTGAATGACACTGACTTGTCACCTCATTCAACTCTTCCATTGAACTCATCATTGTGGATGCTCTTAATCGATTCCACAACCTTAATCCAATAAAAAATTGGTTCTTAATCTTTAATAATATGCTTAATTTGTTCTTGGATTCTTTTCTTTGTTTCTTATCCCACCAACAAAAACCCAACATGAAAAAAAAAACAATAAATGGTATATGTATTTTTCAAACTTCCAAGATTTGCAACTTGACCCTCCAAAGATTCCATTCTTTCAACTCTACCCAATTTTATTTTTAACAGACCACCATATTTTCAAAATAATACATTCAATCCATTTATTTCATAGTTTATACCATCAAAATACAAGATTCAGCAAATACTCAAATACATCCATATTTAACAATAAATACACACAATCTGGACTAACATGACACCTCACATATTTTGAAGCATATCCAGAATATGCTGCAAGTCACGGACAACATTTTCAATATTCATCCGTTGTGGCGGGGAATCCATAGAGCATGATACTCCAATCTTCATAGTTGAGGCCACACATTCCTCTATTTTCTTTGCTTTCGCTTCCGTACATTGCGTAGCAATAACTTCCTCTTGAAGTAAATTCAGAAGGTCATCATCAATAACATCGATTACATGGTCTGGCAAGGCCATGTCTGCAAATTTATGAAGGCTGAGGCCTTCATTAAAGATGTTGTCTGTCGGCCTCTTTCCTGTCATCACCTCCAACAATAGTATTCCAAAACTATAGACATCCCCACTACTTGTCATCTCACTCCCAACACCATACTCTGCAACTTATAAGCAGTTACTTTAATAAAAGGAAATGTAGTAGCTACAAATATATATGAGCATGAACCGGAATATATGAACTTTACCTGGAGGTGCAAACCCAATTGTTCCTCTAATGCCACTTGTGCTGTTTTGGTCTGAATTTGTTCCAAGAAATCGAGCTAACCCAAAATCTCCAATGTGAGCCACTAAATCATCATCTAGCAGAATGTTGCTAGGCTTCAGGTCACAGTGAACGATTGTTGGCAGGCAATGATTGTGAAGATAATCAAGTGCAGATGCAACATCAAGGAGGATTTTTATTCTTTGAAGAAGGTTTAGCCTGGATGTACTTGAACTTGAATGCAACCAATCATGTAAACTCCCATTGGGCATGAACTCGAATATCAAAGCTTTGAAGTCATTGCCTTGAAAGTCAAGACTTGAACATGAAGTTATTATCTTCAACAGATTCCGGTGTCGGATATTCCGCCATGCTTCACATTCCGCTATAAAGCTTTTGTGAGCACCTCGGTTTTGCAGATGAAGAACTTTGACTGCAACAATTGTATCATCAAGGACTCCTTTGTAAACAGAGCCAAACCCACCCTCGCCAATCAAATTGGCTTCGGAGAATCCATTGGTAGCCTTGAGAAGTTCACCGTATGATACTTTCATGAACTGTTCATCCCTAAGTGATTGAGATGATGGGCCCTTCCTTTTCTTATACCAAACATACACTAAACATAGAATGCTGAAAATGGTGAACGCAATTATAATGAATATGATGGACAGAGGAAACTCTTTTTGATGTTTTTCTGTCTTCTTGCATTTGGGTAACCCAAGTTCAGCCAAGCCACCACAAAGCCTGCTATTACCCATAACAGAGAATGCACTGGCATTGGCAAACACTCCTAGCACTGGTACTTCACCCTCAAAATCATTAAATGATAGGTTTACATATACGAATGAAAACCGTTCCATGAATTGAGGGATTTGGCCTGATAAATTATTATGAGAGAGATCAAGTATCTCAACTCCTCTCATTGAAGTTAATGACGATGGTACTATGCCTTGAAATGAGTTACCTTTGAGGGATAAGAATGAAAGGCTAGTGCAATCACCAAGGCTACTAGGAATGTTTCCTGATAAATTATTATCAGATAAATCCAGAGCACTCAGCATCTTGAGTTGGCCAACCTCTATTGGAAGTGAGTCAGTGAGGTTGTTTTGAGAAAGATTTAATACTACGGCTAGAGATGAAAGTTGAACAAGTTGTTTAGGAATTTTGCCACTGAGTTTATTGTGAGCAAGTTGCAATTGTAATAGACGATGACAATTTTCCAGGCTTGATGGAAATATGCCATTCTAATCTGTTGGAACTTAAATCAAGGTTAATCAACAATGATAAGTTTCCAATGGAATCTGGAATCGCCCCGGAAAATTGGTTGTCATATAGATCAGCAGATTGTAGATTTTGAAGCTGACCAATGGTGGAAGGGATTTCTCCTGTGAATCGGTTATCTGATAAACCTAGAGTGGTCAAGCCGACTAGATTACCTATACTTGAAGGGAGGTGTCCATATAAATTATTTTCTGCTAAGATTAGATGATAGAGTTGACCAGAAAGATTACCAATTGATGTGGGCAACACTCCTTGAAACTTGGAATTAAAAACCTGCAAAGTCCCTAATTTGCTGCAGTTTTTCAAAGTATCAATAAACCTCATATCATCACCTTCTCCAAGTCCACTGATGTTACCATTAACGTAACCACCAAGGGATATCACACGGATATCTTTTAGTTTTGCAAAGTCAATTGTCAACTTCCCACTAAAACTGTTTGCTTGCATTTCAAGATGATATAATTTTGAACAATTAGCTATCGAGGGTGGGAGAAGTCCGGTTAGTTGGTTACCCCATAACTGAAAGTACTCAAGATGTGGGAGCATTGCACCTAACGACGAGGGAAGAGTACCAGTAAGCTGATTCCAAGGCAAGATAAAATGAGTTAGGAGTGAGAGGTTATAAATGGAATGATGGATGGTTCCAGATAAATTACAACGACCACAATCAAAACCTGTTAAGCTTTTCCAATGGCCTAAGGAGTCTGGAATGCTCCCACCCAATGGATTTTCAGCAGCAGAGAACACTTCCATTGATGTTATATTCCCCAAGACACGCGGGATTCCACCTGTTAACTTATTTCTAGCAATTACAAAGTGAGTAAGTTTTGAGAGGAAACTAATCTCTTTGGGTATGCTTCCAACTAGCTTGTTATTAGAAAGGCCAAGCCTTTCAAGGTTAGAACAACGAGACAAGTTACTTGGAATGATTCCGTTGAATTTGTTAAAGCGAAGATCGAGGACACGTAGCCTGGATAGACGACCCAGTTCATGAGGGATGGTTCCTTGAAAGCTGTTGTTCCAGAGAGAGAAGAAACGAAGGAAGCTGAGGTTCCCTACATGTGGAGACAACGACCCTTCTAGCCCTTGCGACTCCAATGATACATCAATGACTCTTCTGTGGCGCTTCCCACATGAAACACCACTCCAATCACAGAAATGAAAGGATGCATTCCATGAGCTTAGAGCTTCTTCATTCCTGATCATCGACTTGAACCCCATCAACGCCTGAAAATCAGTCTCGTTACCGCCAACAGAAGCAGAAATGGTGTTGGTTATCAGAAAAATAACAAGAGTAGAATAGAGGAATGTAATACGATCAGAGTTCATTTTAATTTAAGAAGAGTACAAGGATAACTGGGTGCTGGCTTTCAAATTTATACTCTGTTTTTGCATGTTAATTAATTATAAGCCTACACGACATGCATGCAAAATGAAAGCCATCCGTAAATTCCGTATCATCTTGACCAAGACAAATTGAGGACCTGCTAGTCAAAATTACTTATAGGAATAATTTGTTATGGTCCAGACTATTAGGATCGAGACACTTAACACACGACTCTAAACACACACACAGCTCACGAAAAACAAGAACACAAGGATTTAAGGTGGTTCGGTCTATTTCTGACCTACGTCCACACGAGGGTAACTTGGAGTTTATATTTCTTGGTGCTAATCTGCACTCTTTCTTTGTTACACTAGATACAAGTGTTACAAATACAGAATAATCTCTTATATAGAGATGGAAATCAGAAGTAGTCAAAAAACACAACTGGGTCTTCATTCAACAATTGTGGCTTCACAACTTCACATTGTTCCTGCCATTTTTGACCAGCTTTTCTGTGGATTCACACTCAACATTTCTGTGGATTCACACTCAACATTTATGTGGATTCATACTCAACAATCTCCCACTTGAAGCCACGGAACAATCTTCACCTGTGCTTCAACTGTGCATCTGTATTTGATCTTAACTCCTTCCTAGTTACCCTGGCCTTCTCTTCAATTATCCTGAAGGCCAGTTGAAGCTATGCAAAGCTTCAACTTTTCTAAGGTGACAACCTTAGTCAACATATCAGCTGGATTTTCAGTTCCTTTGATCTTATTCAACTTCAGAGTGCCATCATTAATTCTTTCTCCGATGAAGTGATATCTCAGCTGTATGTGCTTTGTCTTCGAATGGAAGACGGGATTCTTTGCAAGATGAATTGCACTTTGATTGTCACAAAATAATGCACAATCATCTTGTTCTTTGCCAAGTTCGTTGAGAAAATTCTTCAACCATATAAGCTCTTTGCTTGCTTCAGCAACTGCCATATACTCTGCTTCTGTGGTTGAAAGGGCAACACTTTTCTGTAGTTTGGACATCCAAATTACTGCAGTGCCGCCCACTGTAAAGACATACCATGTGGTGCTTTTGTATGAATCTTTACAACCACCAAGATCTGCATCTGCATAACCATTCAGAACTACGTCTTTTCCCTTAAAATTTAATGCCGTCTTTGAAGTCCCTTTAAGTATCTCAACAACCATTTAACTGCTTCCCAATGTTCTCTTCCTGGATTGGACATGAATCTACTAACAACTCCCACTGCATGAGCTATATCTGGTCTCGTGCATACCATTGCATACATGAGGCTACCAAATGCGGATGCATAAGGAACTTTAGCCATTTCTTTCTTGTCTTCATCTGATCTGGGTGACTGAGCTTTAGAAAGCTTAAAGTGACTTCCCAAAGGTGTGCTTCTGATCTTGGCATCTTTAAGGCTGAATTTCTCTAATACTTTCTCAAGGTACTTTTCTTGAGATAGTGTTAAAGAACCATCTTTGTTTCTGAATATACTCATCCCGAGTATTTGCTTTGCAGCTCCCAAGTCTTTCATTTCGAACTCTTCAGACATCTGTTTCTTCAACTTCTTGATCTCTGACATGTCTGAACCGGCAATCAACATATCATCTACATAGAGTAGTAGAATGATATAAGAACCCTTAAACTTCTTGATGTAACAACAATGATCATTGTCACATCTCTTGTAACCAACTTTTCTCATGAAGTTATCGAACTTCAAATACCATTGTCTGGGTGCTTGTTTCAGACCATACAAACTCTTCTTCAATTTACACACCAAGTTTCCTTTGCCTTTATCCTGAAAACCCTCTGGTTGTGTCATGTAAATGTCTTCATCTAGGTCACCGTGTAGAAAAGCTGTCTTGACATCTAGTTGCTCTAGATGCAAACTTTCTGCTGCTACAATACTGAGAACAAGTCTGATAGTGGTCATCTTCACTACTGGGGAGAATATTTCATTGAAATCAATTCCTTCTTTCTGTTGAAAGCCCTTGACTACTAATCTTGCTTTGTACCGTTTGGTACCATCATGTTCATCCTTGACCCTGAAAACCCATTTATTCTGAAGAGCCTTCTTCCCAACTGGAAGCTTTGTTAAGTGCCATGTGTTGTTCTTCTCAAGCGACTTCATTTCATCTTTCATTGCTAGCTCCCACTGCAATGAATCTTTCAACCCTATAGCTTCAGAGTAACACTGGGGTTCACCGTTTTCTGTCAAAAGAATGTAGTTGACAGATGGTAAGTATTTGTTTGGTGGTCTTGTGACTCTGGAAGATCTTCTTAGTTGAACTTGAGGTGTGACTGGGGACTCTGGAGTTGGAGGACTAGTTTCTTCATCTTCAGAATCATTACTGGAATTATCCCCTGAGCTCCCACTGTCAGTTGAATCATCCCCGGATTCAGGGATTTCGACTGGAGCTTCTTTCTTCTTTTCAACACCTTCAAACTCAACATACTCCTTCTGATCTTCTGGACTTTTGTTGTTTCTGTCTTTGTATAACTCGGCTTCGTTAAAGGTGACATTCTTACTTCGGATTATCTTTCTGCTCTCACTATCCCAAAGCCTGAAACCCATTTCATCTGACCCATAACCAATGAATGTACACTTCTTGGTCTTTGAATCAAGTTTATCCCTGTCACCATCTTTTAACAAACTGTAAGCAGTACAACCAAAGACTTTCAGGTGTTTGAGACTTACTTCCTTCCCTTGCCACATTTCTTCTGGTAATTTAAAATCCAAGGGAACACACGGTGAACGGTTGATCAAGTAGGCTGCAGTATTAACTGCATCAGCCCAAAATGTCTTAGGTAAACCAGAATTCAACCTCATGCTTCTAGCCCTTTCATTCAGAGTTCTATTCATTCTTTCAGCTACACCATTCTGCTGAGGGGTTCCTGGGACCGTCTTGATCATCTTTATCCCTTGCTTGGCACAATAGTCAACAAACTCCTTGCTTATGTATTCACCACCATTATCCGACTTCAGGCATTTTACCTTCAAATCAGTTTCATTTTCAACAGCAGATTTCCATATCTTAAAAGTATCAAATACATCAGATTTATTTTTAAGAAAATAGACCCATACCTTGCGTGTTGAATCATCGATAAAGGTTACATAGTAGTTTTTGCCTCCTAGAGATGAAACTGGTGTTGGTCCAAATACATCCGAGTGAACAAGCTCCAACTTCTGAGCTTTCGGTGTCTTCCCCGTTTTTACAAAAGTAACCCGCTTTTGTTTCCCGAGAACACAAGATTCACAAAATTCAGTTTCGACTTTCTTCAAGTCTGGAAACTTTCCTTTCTGAGCCAACATCTTCAATCCCTTATCGCTCATGTGTCCGAGTCGTTGGTGCCATAAATTAGATGGACTCGGATTGGTGGTTACTGCATGAACACCATCACCAGGTATCTCTACCATGTATAGAGTGCCTTTCTTCTTTCCTTTGGCAATCACCAAGTTGCCTTTGATCACTTTCCATTGTCCACCCCCAAAGTGAACATTAAACCCTTCATCATCCAATTTTCCAACTGAAATCAAACTTTCTCCTTAAGTTTGGGATAACCCTGACATCTTTCAATGTCCAGTTGGTTCCCATGGAGGTCTCCAAATCTACGTCCCCAATACCCGTAACATCAAGCACTTGATCATCGGCCAAACGAACTTTGCCAAGATCACCTGTTTGTAGGTTCTTGACCATATCTGGGCATGAGACGACATGGAAAGAAGCACCCGAATCCATAATCCAGGATTCCACTGAATTCTCAACACAGCATATGAGAAAATCTCCCGATTCTTCAGAGGATACATTGTTTACTTCTTTCTTTTCAGCTGGTAGTTTTGGGCATTGGCTTCTAAAGTGACCCTTTTCTTTGCAATTCCAACATTCAATATCTTTTCGGTTCTTGGACTGCCCCCTTTTTCTGGACTTTGATCTGCCTCGACTACGTCCTCTTTCGTTTCTTCTTCCTCTACTTTCTGTATGCAATAAAGAACTAGAACTAGAACTAGAAGTCTCACCATTGCTTCTCCGTCTGATATCTTCATTTACAATCAAGTCACGAATACTCTCGAAAGTGAGTTTAATAGTGCCGGATGCACTACTAACAGCTGTGACGGTGCCTGACCAACTATCGGACAAAGATGATAAAAGGAGGAGCGCTTGTACTTCATCTTCAAACTTTATTGCAACTGAGGCTAAACGAGAGATAATCGAGTTAAACTCGTTTATGTGAGCGGTAACTGACATGCCTTCCTTCATTTTGGTGTTAACCAATTGTTTGATGAGGAACACTTTGTTGGAAGCGGACGGCTTCTCGTACATGTTGGACAAAGCCTTAAATACTCCATAAGTAGTTGTTTCATTAACAATGTTATACGCAACACTCTTTGCCAATGAAAGCCTAACTACACCCAAGGCTTGTCGATCCAACAACTTCCATTCTTCATCATACATGTCATCCGGTTGTTCGCCCAACATAGGCAAATGCAAACTTTTCTGATACAACATATCTTCAATTTGCATCTTCCAAAATCCATAATCGGTTCCATCAAACTTGTCAATTTTGATTTTACCATCTTCTGCCATTTTTGCAATTTTCTGAAAGAATAGGGACCTGTCTTGCAATTTTCTGAAACTTCAGGACCTGTCTTGCAATTTTCTGGAACTTCAGGACCGGTCTTTGCAATTTTCTGAAACTTCAGGGACCAAATCTGAGTTTTTCAAATTCTGCTACAGTAACGCTACAGTGACGCTACATTGACGCTACATTGTCGCTACAGTGTCGTCTTCTCCGGCAAGTCTCCGGCGTACAGTGTCGTCTTCTCCGGCAAGGCTCCGGCGTACAGTGTCGTCTTCCGGCAAGGCTCCGGCGCTACAGTGTCGTCTTCTCCGGCGAACTGGTTTTCCCGGTCACTATTCCGTCGAACCTTTGACCGGCGATTTGGACGTCTTCCGGTGGTCGAAAAATTCAGAAAAAAATA